AAGGATAGATGGCGTTAACAAATATTTCTACAAAAACTATTGTTTAATTTAATGGCACCATTACGTCCTACTAGACAACACTTCTTTCTATACTATTTTGACAGATGCTTAGTTTGTTTGTTAAGGTTTTCGTAATATTATTATCATAAAGCCCAAGTAATAAAGCCAGTTAACAAAATTTTGCCGCATTTCAGCTTTTTTACAGATATAAGGGTAGGTCGTAAGAAGGTAAAGTTTAAAAATCGCCACATTGGAAAACGCGTACATCGCTATATCTCCGAAATTAATGAGTTTACGTCAAAAAATGTAGGGTACTTATATTTTTGTTTATTACTAAATACCCTAACTTTTTCGTCTTAAAGTTTTTATACTAACTTTTACCGTTTTTCAATATAGTTTTTGACGACCTCCGTGGTCGAGTGGTTTGTAGGCCGGGTTTCATGGTGTCGCCGACTCGAGAGGTCCCGGGTTCAAATCCCGGTGGGGACAGATGTTTGTGTGATGAATACGAGCATTTGTACTTCAGTCATCATGGATGTTTAATATGTTATTCTATAAAAAAAAAATATACTTATATATGTACAGTTTATGTATTCTATCCGTTACCCTAGTATCCCATAACACAAGCCTTATCGTGCTTACTTTGGGGCTAGGCTAATTGGTGTGAGTGTTGGAAATACTTATTTATTTATTTATAGTTGTTTATGTGAAAAAAAAATTTTTTTGAAAGGATCTCGATGGCGCAGGTGTTTAGCGAAACCCTTTAGAAATATTATGTCGTAAACTCGCAGTTATAACTTCACATATAACCAACAGTCACTACGCACTGTTTTCTAGATAACCAGCCAGTTGTCTAGATCTCAAATGTCACCCGTTCTCTACGCCGCGCATGCGCCGGCGCCACTGCGTTTGCGTTACGCAACGTATTATCTAATAAACCTGCGCGGTCGGGCCATCAAGATATGGTAATTAATTATACGGCTGTATTACCGTCATGGTACGAATAACCTATAACGTGGAAGGGCCAATGCGTTCAGCTATTTATAATTTTTTTGGAAGACCAACAGCTATTAATAAAAAATAAATAAAATGGGTGCGTGTACTTATGTAGGCGCGTGAGAAGTTATCCTTCTTTGGCATCGTTTAAAATTAGTTTTTAATTGCATGCAAATAATTAATTACAATAAATTAATAAAAAGTCTGGAAAAGGACACAGTCAATAAAGTTCAGTTTTAATTTGAAAAAATAAATAAATAATCTAAATATTCAATTAAAATCGCTACTGAATATAATTTATTAGAACATATGTGATTTGCACTTGTATGAAACTCAAAGACGTATTCCGAATATACAAACTAGAAACATGTGGTTAAATATTATAAATATGAATACCTATAACTGTTACTTTATTACAAAAAATAAAGATGTGGTTTTTGATTCTACTACACCAATGGTCAAGAGATGGCGCTGTAGTCTCCTGAATCGCGCTTTGGTTCCGTTGTTCCAGATTAATAAATACTTTTGATAGGCCATCACAATGCAGTCGTTAGCACCCACTAAATAGAGATTCTATTTCTATTTTGTTGGTAGATTTTCTTAATGTGCGGTAAACACAAAAGTAACGCACCAACTTCATGCTGTTAAAATTTTGTGTTACAGTGATGCGCGCGCATCTTAAAAATTCACTCTCATCATTTTTTCATAACGCTCCTAAAGAAGTAGAACTTCAAAAATATGCGGCAGAAAGACAGTATGCTTTTTTTAAGATTTTCTTATTGGATTTCTGTAGTGCACGAGATGCTATGGTATTTCAACTTGCGGCGATTCACTGCGAGCACATACAAACAGGCACTAATAGTGAAACTAAAAATAATATAATCATACAGACTATAGATGTCTCTGTAGAATTATCAGCGCTGCAGCAGCCCTGGTGTTACTGTAGTTGGCCTAGTTGACCTATTTTGTCTAGTTTTATTTATGTAAACCTGACTGTGTTTAAGGCTAATAAATCTCTTATCTATTAGACAAGTCCGTCCGTCCGTCTGTCTGTGGTGCTGTTTCAGCGGCCAAACCGTAAGAGATAGATAAAGAGAATATTTAAGTTATAAGTTAAGAACAGTCTGATAAGACTACAAACCGGATTTGAGTAACGTAGCACTTCCGGTTTTCGAGAAATCACGAATTTCAAACGAAACCACACAAAATCTCCGAAGTTCTCAATTAATTAAATACATTTTTTTTTCTATTATATTATGTACTCACGATTGGAACGTTGAGTTTTTCCACTCTCATTTCGGAGCTGCGAGAGCGAGGCCGCGACACTGAGTTGTGACATCACATCGCAAAAATGACGTAGTATCGCAATACAATGCGATATAGCAACGCAAAAACTTTCATCTGAACGCCCGACAGCGCATCGTATAATTCCGTACAGGGCTTGTTTACCGGTTAATTTTCAAACCTATCAGTGTCAAGTACATTAGGAGCGTTTTATTTAGGTTTGGCTCTACCTTAACCTTAAATAAACCGGTTTTCCTAAAAAGCGAAATCAAAAAGGTTTTGAATCAATTAAGCGATTTTTAAAGGGTTTCATTTCGCTCTTACTGACGGCTGAAATAAATACACAACTACAAAATGAATAACTTGACGCACTAGACGCTACCAAACGTGTCAATAAATGCATCAATCTCTGAGCATTAACAAGTTGTGACTTGATAAGTTCAAATAAAACAAACTTCAAGCGATGCCGACGCGTGCACGTGTCGCTCTTGATTAAACCGGTTTATTAAGGTCAGAACGAAACCTTTACTAAAAACCGGTATTAACCTTTATTTACCGGTATTTTTGAAACCGGTTTCAAGCCCTGATTCTGTGATGCGTTCTACGACGGCGTAGATTTCGACGGTGCGACGCCGCACCGCAATGTTGTGGCCCCGCCCTTATTCCTTCTTAATGGAATAATGGTTGGGTTCCATTTTTCTCTCTTCCTCGTCCCATATCCTTCTTCTGTTTGTTTTTGCTGTACACAGTAGAAAACGTCTTTTGTCACATGGTACAATGTCTTGTCACTTTTTAATTAAAATTCGTCTCTCCATCAGTCATCAAGACCGCCAATTGTCCACCTATTTAAATTAATGTCCAAACTTTGGACTTTATAATGTTGTGTGTTCAATAAAGTATTATCTATCTACAAAACAATGTCATTGTGAGTGCAATACGTGATTCGGTAGGCACGCTAACGATTCTGTTTCTTGCCCATTTTATTCCCGAGTAAAGGTTGCATTTACCAAGTACGTTATAGCTTTTATTTATTTATTTATTTATTAGCCACGCCAACAGCATACACATACAAAAAACAAATACAAAATTCACAATAATAGTACCAGATGTGCACACTTATTAAAGGCATGTACAAAATTTATAATTGTCTTAATCAACGTCAACAATTACAATTTCAAAGTAAAAGAACTTTATAATTAAAATCAAAATTAAAATTAAAAGAATACAGTGAATCGAAAAATCATGAAATCGGTTAAGCAAAATCAAAGGAGATCAGCTCAGCTTCCATACATGTTTGGCCTAAAGACCAATAATCATGAAAAATTGTTTCCTGGATTCCAAATTATATAGAAATTACTGTAGAAACGAATTTATAGTCAGGGAACGTAGGCCCATAGATAGATACCTTAAAGTTTAACATATATACAGATTATAATGTGTTTATGGAGGTGTTTAGCGAAAAATGTATGGCAATAGACTTTATGATGTCGCGTACCATCTATAATAATTGTCTGAGCACATTTGCATCTAGTGAAAATGATAATATAGTTGTGGATATTAATACCACAGTGTAATAAAAAAAAAAAAAAATATCGATCTTTACAAAATAGATTTCTTTTTGAAGTTATACTTCTTTAGGCGCGTTATGAAAAAATGATGAGAGTGAAATTTTTAGATGCGCGCGCATCACTGTAACCCAAAAGTAACAGCATGAAGTTGGCCGCGGGCGCGTTATGAAAAAATCATGTGAGTGAAATTTCGAGATGCGCGCGCATCACTGTAACACAATAGTAACATTATGAAGTTGGCCGCGGGCGCGTTATGAATGTTAGTGTCTAATTATTAGACATCTGTTCGAAAGGTACTTTGAACGATCCACGGAGCTCCATAAGATGATCGCGTTGTCAAAAACAATGTTGGCACGCTCGTCGCCTCTGATCACTGTTTTCATATTTATAATATTTATCCACATGTTTCTAGTTTCTATATAGACACAACGTGTTTTAGTTACTTACAAGTGCTAATTACATATGGACTAATAACTTAAATTCAGTAGTGATTTTAATTTAATATTTTGAATATTTATTTAATTTTTCAAATTAAAACTGAACTTAATTGACTGTGTTAACTATCCTTTTCCAGTCCTTTTATTATTTTATTGTAATTATTAATTATTTGCATGCAATTAAAAAATATTTTTAATGATGCTAAAGAAGTATAACTTGTCACGCACGTACATAAGTTACACGCATCCATTTTTTTATGTTATATAAACAACTTCGATCAGTCTTTGACTGAATGTTACTACACCCAAAGCCATTAAAATTGATTCGTATGTTTTCCAAACCGGTAAAATTAAAAGTCCTTTTTAAAGTAAATATATTATACAAAGGTGTCCGTTGAAATCTAATGTCTGTAAATTAAATTATAAATTACGCCAAGAATTACCGTGTATGTTAATATTTTTTGTGCATTTAGGCCAATTTGAGCAATCTCCTTTAGCCAAAATAAACATTAGGATTCATTTGGTAAGTGATTTCAACACTCCAGATCTAAAAGAGCGTAAGGAGTCGTGCATGATGTCCAGGTTGCCCGAAATACCATTTGACAGACAACAACATTGTTAGGTGTCATTAATACAGAAGCAGACCAGTCATCCACCAGTGGGGACATGACACAACTAATGATGATAAACTAAAGTTGTACATCTGACATTCCAGATCGCACTGCAGTTGCGACGCCAAGTTTCGCGAGTGCTTGCACCGCACCAACTCACTGGTGTCAGCGCAGATCGGCCTGACGTACTTCAACGTACTGGGCCCACAGTGCTTCCGTAAAGCACATCCTATCGTCAAATGCTTAAGGAGGACGAGGTGAGTCTATATCCCACCAATTAGCTGGTGTCAGCGCAGATCGGCCTGACATACTTCAACGTGCTGGGCCCGCAGGTGCTTTCGTAAAGCACATCCTATCGTCAAATGCTTGAGGAGGACGAGGTGAGTCTATATACCACCAACTCACTGGTGTCAGCGCAGATCGGCCTGACGTACTTCAAAGCGCTGGGCCCACAGTGCTTCCGTCAAGCACATCTCATCGTCAGATGGGTGAGGAGAACGAGGTGAGTCTATATGCCACCAATACACTGGTGTCAGCGCAGATCGGCCTGACGTACTTCAACGTTCTGGGTCCGCAGCGCTTTCGTAAAGCACATCTTATCGTCAGATGCGTGAGGAGGACGAGGTGAGTCTACATCCCACCAATTCGCTGGTGTCAGCGCAGATCGGCCTGACGTACTTCAACGTACTGGGCCCACAGTGCTTCCGTAAAGCACATCCTATCGTCAAATGCTTGAGGAGGACGAGGTGAGTCTTTATCCCACCAATTCCCTGGTGTCAGCGCAGATCGGCCTGACGTACTTCAACGTTCTGGGCCCCCAGAGCTTCCGTAAAGCACATCTCATCGTCAGATGCGTGAGAAGGACGAGGTGAGTCTATATGCCACCAATTAGCTGGTGTCAGCGCAGATCGGCCTGACGTACTTCAACGTACTGGGCCCACAGTGCTTCCGTAAAGCACATCCTATCGTCAAATGCTTGAGGAGGACGAGGTGAGTCTTTATCCCACCAATTCCCTGGTGTCAGCGCAGATCGGCCTGACGTACTTCAACGTTCTGGGCCCCCAGAGCTTCCGTAAAGCACATCTCATCGTCAGATGCGTGAGAAGGACGAGGTGAGTCTATATGCCACCATTTAGCTGGTGTCAGCTCAGATCGGCCTGACGTACTTCAAAGTGCTGGGCCCTCAGTGCTTCCGTAAAGCACATCCTATCGTCAAATGCTTGAGGAGGACGAGGTGAGTCTTTATCCCACCAATTCCCTGGTGTCAGCGCAGATCGGCCTGACGTACTTCAACGTTCTGGGCCCCAGAGCTTCCGTAAAGCACATCCTATCGTCAGATGCGTGAGAAGGACGAGGTGAGCCTATATGCCACCAATTAGCTGGTGTCAGCTCAGATCGGCCTGACGTACTTCAAAGTGCTGGGCCCACAGTGCTTCCGTCAAGCACATCTCATCGTCAGATGCGTGAGGAGGACGAGGTGAGACTTTATCCCATCAATTCGCTGGTGTCAGCGCAGATCGGCCTGACGTACTTCAACGTTCTGGGTCCGCAGTGCTTCCATAAAGCTCATCCTATCGTCAGATGCGTGAGGGGCGAGGTGAGTCTATATAGCACCAATTCGTTGATTTCAGCGCAGATCGGCCTGACGTATTTTAACGTGCTGGGCCCGCAGTGCTTTCGTAAAGCACATCCTATCGTCAGATGCGTGAGGAGGACAAGGTGAATTTATGATCACAAGTTTATTTAAAGAAATGTTATCAATAACTGAAGAAATGTTTACTAGAAAAGACTTATGACCAGATGCCAGACAGGACTCGAACCCGTGGATAACAGAAGGCGCACAGGTTTGAATTCGCCTGACACCTAGACCGAGTAGAGTTTCTAGTACAGTTTTCTTTAGTAGTTGAAGTATTTATCGAGGTTATAGGTTATAGCTGAGGCTGTATTTCTATAAATCATTAATCAATATCCGTAAACTTTGTCGTATCGAGTACTCTGCGGTCATGCTGAAAAATGAAGCGATGAAGATGACAATCACGATATATAGAAAGACAAAGAGTACGGTTGCTAAAATGGACACAGCCGATGAGGTAATGCATACTTTGATACAGAATAAAAGTAATTTTTTTTTTAAAAAACAAGCTTTTATTTAAATGCGCTAAAAGAAAAAAAAACTTTTACATGGGGGCTCCCACGATTCTGGAACTCAATTCTCCACCAATAGTCTTTTATAGGACCATTTAAAACTTCATGATTGTTTGACATGAACTTCATCACAGCATGAAATCGGTACATAAAATGTTTAAAAAATTTCAACTAAATTAGTTAAAGATATCTGTTTCTAAATAGATTTTCAAATGTTAGAAGTCCGCCATATTGGATTGAGAATAACGTCACATTTTTTTCGAGTTACTCTCAGCAAGCCCTTTAATTTGATACCCATATTGTAGGAGTGCATTAAAAATGATTGGTCCGCCATTTTGGGTATGCCGCCATATTGGATTTAGAATGACGTCACACTGTTAATCATGCATTGTCATCCGAACTGAACGAGCATACCAAATTTCAGCTTAATCGGTTGAGGGCAAGTGCTTAAAAATTGAGTTGTAAGATTTGACCGTAACAAACATACATAGCAAGTTAAATAAAAGCTTGTAAAAAGAATACCAACAGTGACTTTTTTATCCAAGGCCCAGCACATTAGTTCATCTTTGATACCGCTTAAAGTCCAGTTACAAAGATAGCTGATACAGCATAAAAATGTTCTACTCCACCCACGCTTACCTTGCCGACCTAAACATAATTGAATAGTCGTCCTTCCATTCTATATTACAGAGCTTTTTTTAAGTCAATGTTAAATTTGAATTAAATTAGTAGCGACGGCGAATGGCCTGAATGTGAAAAATGTATTGGAAGATTCAAAATTATACTTTTTAAAAAAGTATAATTTCATCATTCATCTCTATCAGTAGAAAACACGATAGAGTCTGTGCGGAAAGAGAATGGGCGTGGCGAAAAACGGAACTAACATTAAGATTTTTATTTGGCAATCAAACCCAGCAATCTGTAATACCGGCCATACACACTACAAGAAATCGTTACGATTAGACTGTACAGTCCGAACGGTACCGATAAATCGTAGCGCGTATGTTATAAAACTGCACAGTTTCCTATACTAAACGAAATCGTATAAACTGTTCCGTTCGAACTGTACAGTCTGATCGTAACGATTTCTCGTAGTGTGTATGGCCGGTATAACACGTCAAAGTTTTGTATTGATACGGATTTGTTTGTTGTTGTGATTTCTTTCGGTTTTTTGTATTTAATTATGTATAAAAGGGGTAAAACCTTACAAATACGGTAGAAAAGCACTACAGCGCCCTCCAATCTAAATCCCGTTCTCTTTCCGCACAGACTCTACGACCACGTTCACGATACATCGAAGCTATATCGGTTTTTCAAATCGATTATAAGTGTACATCTTCGGATAGCAGGCTGAGCCTATCCTGGCATTTGCCAGTGTGACATTGATAAATAGTTTTGTTATCTCATGAAAAAATCATTTTCAGAATAACTGGACAGAAATGCGAAGAATACGAGTTGGACTACACGAAACCCAAGATGTGGCAGTGGTTCGACAACGAGACATTTTAGACGATAACATTATCATCGTTCGGCCATACGACGCCTACTGCTGGGAATAGGCCCTCCCCTAGAAGGCTAGATTTAAAATAGACAATGCATAAGGAGAACCAGCGTGTCTTATTTTGAGTACTCGCGTGAACAAATTGTGCAGTTAAAAAGCAATAAAAGCAATGACCCCAGCATCCATTTCAGTTCTTTCGCTTATATATAGGTTAATAGGAACAAATAGACATCGTTTGCTTGCCAGTATCGAGAACGGTTACGCGACGAAATAAAATAGCCTCCAATGGAGAGCTTTTATTTCTTTTGCCATGTTGGTACACGAAGTGTGAAGGAAGACATGAGCATAGCATGAGTAAATTTTTATTTTATGTATATTATTTTATTTTATGTATATATTTTGGTGAGGAGCTCGATGGCGCAGGTGGCTAGCGCGTTCGGCTGCGATCGTTGAAGTTAAGCAACTTTCGCAGTGGTCGGTCATTGGATGGGTGACCAAAAATTTACTATCTCGAGCTCCTCCGTGCTTCGGAAGGCACGTTAAGCCGTTGGTCCCGGCTGCATTTGCAGTCGTTAGCACCCACCAAACCGCACTGGGCCCGCGTGGTGGGTCATGGCCCAATCTCCCTATTCCATCCATAGGGAAGGCCTGTGCCCCAGCAGTGGGGACATTAATAGGGTGATGATGATGATGATGATGATGATATATTTTGGTCTATGTCAGTACATCTCCCGAAGATCTCCACGCTGATACGTCCTGAGTTGTCAACATCCAGCGGCTTTACGCGATCTTTGATCGTCAGTTCACCAGTTTTAAAAAATATGGACACATTCTTTTATCCATCAAGTTTGATGCAAGTTTTGTATACTACATGTTTATAATGTATATACGTAAGTGCGAACAAATAATTATAAATTTTATACATTAGTTTGTTAAAATAAAAACATGTATTATACCTTGGCGTAAATGTGGGTTAATATCATCGTGATCGCAGACTCTTAACTTAAAAGGTTTGATGTAACCGAGTACTGGCGGGACGATCGCAAACAGTGACATCTAGCGACAGCCGTGCGAAATAAAAATAAAAAAGCGACATCGAACGTTAAGGCGCTTTGCAGACGACGGGGCGGGGCGGGCTTTTTGTCCGCGAAGCAATAAAAACCGCGTTTGCCCGTCGATGTCTGCGGCTGCCCGCGCCGCGTACACAAAGCACACGACGGGCAGAGACAGTCATTTGAGGACGTTCGTTCTAGTGAATAGTCCATCACTAAAAAGCGCGTGGCGCGGAGTGAGCTAGCCGCCCCGCGCCGCCATCTGCGTTACTGCATATAAACTGGTTTGTATGATCCACGGCGGGCAGCCGCGGACATGCCGCGCCGCCAGTGCCCGCCGGGCACCCAAGGCGCGGTCTTTCTGCCCTCTGTGTGCGTTTGTAGTATAGGATTCACTTTGTGCTATCGTTCGCGGCGAAATTGACCAGTCCGCTCCGCCCCGCCGTCTGCAAAGCGCCTAATAATCAAAGTCTCAAGGAAGAATGGTTATTCGGATAAAATATTAAATCTTTATTTGTATAAATACCGAGCAACCTCTTTCATATCGTGTCCTTCTCACTACGGGACATTGGCGAAATTTCAGTGTAAAACGGAAATAGCCACACAATAAAATAAAAAAAAACAATCAAAGTATTGAAAGTAAACTTGCGTACATAAAAAAAATATTTGTGATGTATTTTAGTTTATGAGTAAAATTACAGTAGGTACACAATGTTTTTAAACAGTATAAATTATATTTTATTTTTTAAGTATTTAACTGTTAGATGTTTAAATCTAAAGATGTTTTAGATTTAATCAGAAATTATTCCTCCCCGTACATGTTTCAGACGGAATATTTTTTAATATATTTCTTAGTTGATATGTTTTCCCTGTAAGCTTTATTTATTTTAAGCAAGTTTTAAATGATATTGCCGCAGTGCCGAAAAGATTTTCCAAGTACAATATTGTATCTATATTTGATAATCATGTTTTGTACATAGAACTATGTTTTGTTTGTATGTAGTTTAAAGTATTCTTATCTGACATAGTAACATAAGGTATTTAGTAAAAAAATTAAAACTTTTATATACTGCCGAGGTAGGTCAGTAGAATTTTATATATTTTAATTTTCTTTACACATATTTCTGTAGATTAAACCATGACTGTGTAAAAATACTCTTATACAGTATTATTGTACTGTAACTTACCGTTTTTTATGGTGATTAAGTTACGTTAATAATATGTAGTTAATAAATAAATGAAATAGCGCCTACATTTTTTTGTATACTACCTGGTACTTATAGTTGAATTCTTTCGTACTAAATTAATTTAACACCTTTTAACAAATGAAATTGCGTTTAATTTAATAAAAGTGTTTCAAAACGTTTATGATCATTTTCAGGTTGTAAATTGTGTTTATATTTAAAAAGTAAAATAAATATCGATGTATGATCAATTGGACATCAATTTTGGCGACATCTTCTTTTTTATAAAACACCACATTTTAATAATTGTCATCAGCGAACATTATTGCAATTTAATTAATTAATTCATTTATTCATCCATCACAATTTTACACAAAATATATGAACAACGATTTGCAATAGCTTAGAGCCCAAATTTTTAATGACTACCTACTGCCTGAAATAGATTTCAGAAGAGAACCTGTACTACAAAGTCAACAAGCCTCACCCTCAGACAGTGAAGAAATAAGTGCATTATGGTGTAAATTGCTTTAAACAGATGTATGAGTGGAAATCGAGGAGCTCAATGGCGCAAGTGGTTAGCGCGTTCGGCTGCGATCGTTGAAGTTAATTAACTTTCGCAGTGGTCGGTCATTGGATGGGTGACCAAAAATTACTATCTCGAGCTCCTCCGTGCTTCGGAAGGCACGTTAAGCCGTTGGTCCCGGCTGCATGTGCTGTCGTTAGCACCCACCAATCCGCACTGGGCCCGTGTGGTGGGTCATGGCCCAATCTCCCTATACCATCCATAGGGAAGGCCTGTGCCCCAGCAGTGGGAACATTAAAAGGCCGATGATGATGATGGTGCAGACAACTCCTACCCGTCACTTATTTTTGTTTATGTCGTGAGTGAAGGGAGTTTTAGAATGCTGTTTTAATATCACTTTAAGGATATATGTTTACGATACTGTCAGCATGTACCAGTAATTATAGAGTTCAATCGTGGGAAAGCAATATAGAAGACCGGCTGCAACCTTCTTCTATGGTATCTTTCAACTTGGAACATATGTGTTGTGGCTGCTCCACCACATACAGAGACACAGTATACCAGCAGGGATTGGAGGAATGGTTGGGTCGCCGCCGCTGCCTCACGTTCCGTACGGTGCAAATCTTGACCGGGCATGGATGCTTCGGTCACCGTGAATCACTCCCGCCGAAGGAGGACGGGTAGGAGAGGACGGCGACGCGCCCTGACTGCGCCCGTCCCATGACCCTACCCGGGGGGTCCCTCGCTGACCGGCATGGCGTTGGCTGTGCCGGCCACCGACGGACCTCGTGACGGCAGCCCCCCCCTTGTAGTTCTGTCCTGCAAAGAGAGGGGCGGCGGAGTGAGCTACACGGGCACGCCCATGTAGCCCTCCACAGCGTACGGGGGGCGGTACGGTGGGCATTAGGCCGCGTACTCAACCCCCACGCGCGGGCCTACCTGCGCACGTCTCCGTGATACCCCGGGAGACCCCTGCCGTGGAGCCCCGGCTAGGCCGGGAGGCTGCTAGGTGCGGAGACGCGGAGGAATCCCTAAACGGGGATCCCGCGGCTACGCTATGCAGCTTAGAGGGTATTCGCAGGACTTTTTTAGCGGATATTATGCCGTGAAGCGCCCTTAAGAGTTGCGGGGTCCTCGGTGGACAGCCACTGGGGCGCCCGTAAGACTTGCGGAAGCCAGGTGTGAGGTCCGTTCGGCGGTGTGCCTCTTGAAGGCGCCGTCGTCCGTAAATAGCATTTTTTACCTGCGTTATAAAAAAAAGGGATTGGCATAGCGCGCTATAGACTGTTTTAATAACACACCAATCCGCAAGATGCCTTAACGTCCTGCATTTTCGCAGCCATACTGGTAGAAGGTCTAGGAGAAGTTTGAATGACAACGCTTGATCTAGTATGACTTCTAGGTATTTGAGGGAGTTCGTCTTTCTATGACAGGGTAGGAGCATGTAATTTCAGATGAATGGCCAGGGCACGCATGAGCAGTAATATTGTTAGCTTGCAGAGAAACAAGACTTGGGCTTTGGTGATGAGAAATTAATGTACTTATTTTGTCTTAGTGATGTTCATAGCTCGATGGCGCAGGTGGTTAGCGCGTTCGGCTGCGACTGTTGAAGTTAAGCAACTTTCGCAGGGGTCGGTCATTGGATGGGTGACCAAAAAAATTACTATCTTGAGCTCCTCCGTGCTTCGGAAGGCACGTTAAGCCGTTGGTCCCGGCTGCATATGCAGTCGTTAGCACCCGCCAATCCACACTGGGCCCGCGTGGTGGGTCATGGCCCAATCTCCCTATTACATCCATAGGGAAGGGCTGTGCCTCAGTAGTGGGGACATTAATAGGCTGATGATGATGATGATGATGACGATGATGTTCAAAGTTAAGATGTTGCACTTTAGCCATCTGTTAACTCTGTAAAAACTTATTGTGCAAGGCTGAAAGTAATTTCCCAGTCGTCACCCTGAAAAAAACAGAGCGGTGTCATCGGCAAAAGTGAAGACCTTACCTCTATCAAGTTGCAGTTGTATTGTACAGATAGTTGATTTATACTAATACTAAATAAGGTCGGGCCAATTTTATTACCCTGGGGCACCCCATGCGCGACCAAGGCCGTGAACTTACCTAATTAATAATTAAATACCGAAAACTTACCTAAAATATAATATTATTATTATTAAAATAATAATGATTATCTTTTAAATAAAATTCTCGTGTCACAATGTTAGTTACCATACTCCTCCGAAACGGCCTGACCGATTTTTATTAAATTTTATATGCATATTCCGTGGGTCTGAGAATCGGCTACTATCTATTTTTCATATCCTTAAGTGATAATGGTTGTCCACCTGTAACGTAGTGTTCTGAAACATACAATTCAAACTACATTATAAGGTATTGTAACGTAGTGTTCTCACATGGGGTAGGAGGAATGTTATCCCAGGAAATTGATAGAACACTACGTTACACACCCTTAAAATTTTTTTGGATAATATTGATTTTTTTATAATGTGGTATTAAAAAAAATACAACCCTAAATTTGCTCTTCTACCACCTGCCCCTTTTTTATGGCGATACGAAGTTCGCTGGGTCAGCTAGTATTAATATAATATTATGAAAACACTCAACCGAGTTTCATAAACATTTCTGTTATTTGTTATACAAATAATACGGCGTATCCGTATTATTTGTATAACAATAAATCAAAATCAAAATCAAAAATGAATAAAACTACAAAACATTTTTATATACCAAAACATCAGAATATATTTCGAAATGTCACATTCAAAAACGGAATCGTCAATTTCACAAATATTACAATATAAATATACATCGTAATTAAATAAATAAAATTTAATGAGAAAAATCAAACGTACAATAGGTAATTCCCAGAGTACAATCTAGGCTGAATCTAATAAACATTCTACGGATATCATTTTGTTTCAAATTGTGCGCAAAAACTTTTCAGAAAACTGTGTATAATAGATATGTTTATATTAGTTTTTTTCAAAATGATATTCCGAGGATACAGTCAGTTGGCAGATATAATACAATTGTCCTAGAAGATTGTATGTTAAATTTATTGGAATGTCATAGAATATTATGTATACAAGCCCTGGTAATATTTTAGTATGATTAATCGGTAATTAGAGGTACACTTTAAAATGTATACAATAATTATCAAAAATGTTGAAAGCTGTTTTTCACACACCATTCTTTTGGTTTTGATCTTTACATTATTATAATGATCAATTATCAGATTGTGAACTGATGTATTTTTGAAATATTATGGTGAGTATTTTTTCCAACTAGGTATGTGTACATTTTAATACTTCATTTTGTAAAGATCTGATTTTATAACGACTACTAAAGGTACGGTTAGTTGACTACTAAAGAAATGAAATTTCGCTTGCACTTCTTGCAATATAACAGCATTTTCATTTTAAAGCAATAGGGTAATAAAAACATTGTCCACTTCATGTTGGTTTTTGTAATCCAATTACAAAACGGCAGTTCCGGTTAGTTAAACATTAATAAAGTTGTTACTTTTTCTGACTCGAAAATAACTTATAAATTGTGACATTCTGTTTTTTTAGTTTGGTTGTAATGTAAAATAGGTTTGCTTCACGGAGCTATTTAAAGTTCTTAAGTGTGTGTATAACTGATGATTCCTAATATCGATAAAATGGAAAAACCAAATAATTCTGCTTTAAAAACCGTTTCATAAAGGACCCAATTCTTTAAATCATCACGATTTATTACTATGACATATTCACATGGACACACAGATATTTTTTAACTTATAGATATTTTAACTAATATTTTGAATACTTATTTAAATACAATATTATAAAATTCTACTGTAAGCTACGCCTACATTCTATGGGCCTATTAAATATTTATAGATATATAAATATATAGATATATTGCTTAACGTGGTCCAAGGGATTATAATTAGGCTTGAACTTAATTAAGGTTCAGACTTGGGGACCAGCAGTTGTGTTACAATAATTTCTTGAGACAAACATGGGTGATTTTATACACTACGATCGTTTTATTAAAACAGCTATACATATATGTATGTGGTTTATGATAGCAAAATGGTCATACAAAACTTGTTAGCCAAACTAAATTTACTCGTCTCTCTTTACGAAATTCTATATGAAATATTTTTGTTTTCATTCATTATTTGATTTTTATATACCAATAATTTTTAAGCAAATAAAAGATCTTATAATTGTTTGTTCAACTTGTTATTCGCATATTTGATTACAGAACATCAATTTTATTGATTTCATAGCTTGCCTGTCACTGAACCTTTGTAATGCCATTTGACAGAAAATCTGCTATAAAACTCTATAGAATAATGATGGTGTATATTAAAATCACCCTTTTTACCCCACTATATAATAATAATTCTATATATACGCTTGTTAAGCAAGCATGGAAAAAACAGCAGTAGATTTCATTAGGTTTTATTTATTTATTTAAATTTGTTTTCGTCTACGCTTCTGATCTGAATAAATATATTTGAAATAAATTATTGAATCATGTTTTTATCCCTTACTTATTGTCTCCTTCCTGATTCTATCTTATAATATTTGTTATCCAACAAATAAACTGAAAAAACAAAAATTATATGAAATGAATTGTGTTTACGTAATATTAATGTTTTTTTTTCATATTTAAGCAAACAATGTAATATTTTCTCTGGATTATTACCTTTATGATATTTATTATTAAATACATATATTTTTGTCTACTGCTGATATTAGGCTAGGGCTTGGGATGGTCCAGGATAGTCCAAGGGCTAAGTGAAATTGGTGTTTCATATTGGACCCTGGGATTATAATTATACTTAATAATATCTTCGACGATATAAATTCGAAGACGAGTGCACAATAATTTATACACACATAATATAAATTTCAATTTTGAAACGATTTGTTGAAGCAGTTTTGATAAAAATTAAACAAATAAATAAAAATATTATGATGATAATATTTTCTCATCAGAAAAAGACAATTTTTTTGTTTTACTATTTTTAAATATTAATAATAACATAATTGAAAAATAAGCATTTTAACCAAACTGCCTCAACAGTTATACTAATTGTCACGTCAATATTTTTTTTACTACTATATCAACATCAAATAGAGAGTTTGAAATACACCTATGTTTATGAACTAGTAATTCACATAATTATACTATAATAAACGCTAATATAATCTTTGTTAATATATAAACTTTCTAGCGTCTATCCAAACCACATCATTTATAAAACAATTACTAATAAAATAAGGCAAACAGGTCTTACGGAGGGATCAAATAATTATATTCCTTTCCGCTAACTATAGAGGCACTGAAATTGAAATAATTCTCATTTGAAACTAATAACTTACATTTACATCTACATTAATAAACAACAGAAATCTATACGGGGTCCACTACGTAACGAAAAATTTCACTCAATCTATATATATATATATATATATAATTTACTACATAAAAATTGTCGTTACAGGAACGTAATATATTTTTAGATTTTCCTTAAAAATTGTGTGTTCTTGGCAATC